GGAGACTGCTCGGGAGGGCGCGGGGCCGTGCTCTGGGCCTGTCCCCGTCCTTGCTTTGCGGGCGTGGAGCTGGTCTGCTCCTTAACGTATCCGCGGGGTCCCTGAGGGTGCCGCGAGCTCTGAGGCGGCGGCGAGCCGGCCTGGGCCGAGCTGCGGGCAGAGGTGAGGGCTCAGGAGCCCGGGACGGTCTGAGGTTGCGGTTCTCTCCAGCCGTCGAGACAGGAGGGCGAGATTGTGTGCTCTTTGTCCTCGGTATTTCGAGGACACCTCAAGAACCCTTGGTTCTTTTGGGGGGGATAGTTGAAGGGACGCTGTCAGGACCCAGCAAGTACAAAGAGGCTGGTCGTCGGGTAGGAGGTGGCATAACGGTTTCGTAGCTGGACTCCGTAAGAGACCGCTGTCCCACCCCCGGACCGGCCAGGGCACGTGACTTGTGCCCAAATTACGGTGTGGCCACCCGCCAGGGGTGATTTCTCGCTTTCTATCTCTGGTGAGCACATACGCCCTGTAGGAGAAAAAAACCTCTCTCTAAGGGGGGAGGGAGGAAAAAAAGACTGATAGTTCATTGTGAAATCTCCCTGGGAGAGCAAGAAAAAGCCCAGAAGGCTTGGGAAGTTGCTCTGGGCCTTGTCATTCTTGAAGTAGATGCTGACCCGGGATGCTTCTGTCATGAGTTCAGTGAGGGAGGCGCTTGTTCTTCCTGCCCATATCCGCAGCAATATTTTCAGCGGTAATTTAACAGCAGAAATTAGTAGAAATGTTACTTCTTATTCTCTTGGATGATGGGAGAGTGTCTGGGAATGTATTGTTAGTCCGAGGTTATCTGTGGTTTATCCTTGTGTGTGGTGACAAGATATTTGACTTTGGATGCGTTGGTAGAGTTCTTAGCCATAAGTCACTGACTGACGTGGGGGTGATGGTGATGATCTTAGGGACTGTGGGATGATAAAATAAAATCTCAAAGCACACTGAGCATTCAGTAATTTCTCTTTAAATCCCGCAACGGTGACTGGTGAAATGGGAAACTATTATTGTACTGATCCTGAAATTAAGCCTCAAGAAATGATGTTTCCAAGGTAACACAGTTGGCAAAGAGTTTGGATTCAAACCATAAGAGTCTGAACCCCAAGCATCTGACTTCAGAGCTCTGGATTTTTAGTCACTAACATGAGGTAGGAAGTTCTTACTGTGGTGCAGACACCTAGCTGGACCAAAGAAGCTCAGGTACTGCTGTTGTTACAATTATTGTTATCATCACTGTCATTACTTCTTCATTTCTCCTACATAGGAGCCTTCTCTCTTACTTTGTTGTATTGTTTACAAAGCAATGTCTGCCATCTCCCTTGAGCCTAGCACAGAGTTTGGTGCTCAAGAGGTAGTCTGTGACTCAGGTTTTGTTCTCTGTGTACCTTTTCCAGCAAAGCACAAATGACAGCCCTTAAGTAAATCTTTCTGTTTGGCTTCCTAGGTGTCTGTAACCTTTGATGATGTTGCTGTAACTTTCACTCAAGAGGAATGGAGGCAGCTGGACCCAGCTCAGCGGACCCTGTATCAGGAAGTGATGCTGGAAAACTGTGGGCTCCTTGTTTCTCTGGGTAAGGCTGCCTCCTTCTACCATTCAGGGAACTTGTCATCATTCCACCCTCTGGCTTCATGTGTGTCTGGGCAAGAAGGCCTCTGTAACCTGCCCACCCTCATTCTCCTGGCTTAGTCATTTTCTAAACACACCTCTTTGTAGCTGGTCTCCCTTCAGCTCCTTGGGCATGAAAGATAGTATCCTTTTCATTCTTGGCCAGAGGAAAAGAAAACCAGGTGTTTCACAAAAAAACAAAGGCAGGCATTTGAGACAGGCCTTACCACAGGTATGTCTTGGCTTCTCTCTCTATGTCTGCTCATGTCACTATTCAAATGACTTTCCTGGACCAGCAGATGGCATAATGGTTATGTCACTGGCCTCACACACTCGACTGCAGTTTGAGTCCCAGACTTGGTGGCCTAACACTCACGCCACCCAAATCCCTAGAGGAGAATGGAGGAGAAGGGACTGCGGTGTAGCAGTCCCCCCTCCCCCGGGGGGGGGTGATTTCTCACTTTCTGTTTCTCTCTCTCTCTCCGGCAAGCACACGTACCTATACCAAAAACCTCTTATAAACAAACAAAAAAAAAGCTTTTTCTGTTTTGTGAGTCTGTGACAAGAGTGGCCGCCCTAGTCTTTGCTCTCAGTGACCCCTAGATTCCTTGTCTAACTCTTTGGCCACTGTGAGGCAGCAAATATCACCTCCACTTCCCCTAAGCCAATAATGCTCTCAATTGTTCACTTACTGCCCAGCATAGACTGACCTCTATCTAAGGTTCTTTTTTCTAATTCCAGAGAGGGATCTGACTGAGGGAGCCTGGTTGGCTCAGATGTCATCTCCATAGCCCAGTTAGCAGACCATGGTTAGGGGATAGATTCCAAGGAGGAGGTGAGTCAGAAGGCATTTGCCTTAGACACCTTCAGGTGTTGTTCTTGATGATACACTGTCAGTTGTGGGACTTCTTTATTCTTGTGTGCCTTTATGATTTCATTTTTTCTAATTCCAGAACCAAGACCATTTTAGTACAAGAGAGAAGTTTAGAGCAGTGCTTCTCAACAGTGTTGTGTTCTCTAGGGGACATTTGGCAACATCTGCAGTTATTCTATTTATTTATTTAGAGAAATTTTTGCTATGGGGGTGTATAGTCACCAGAGAGATGGAAAAAGACAGAAAGCCAGAAATCACCCCTCCCAGAGGGGATGACTATGCTGTAATTCCTTCTCCGTTCTCCTTTTGGGATCTTGGGCATACACGCACTTGTGCCCAGTGTGTTTTTTAAGTCACTTGGTCTAGGACTCAAACCACGGTAGACTACGTGTGAGTCCAGCAACATAACTATTACGCCACCTGCAGTCACTTGGTTTTCAACACCTGGAGTGGTAGGAATGGGTTGGTAGAGTCTAAATATGCTGCTGAGCATCCTACTATGTATTAGACAGCCCCTCAACAAAGAATTATCCATCCCCAAATGCCAAGAGTGCCAAGGTTGAGAAACAATAGTTTAGGCAATTCCCTACTTGAAGATAAATACCATAGATCATTTACTTTGGGGGGGGGTTTAAATCTAGTATGATTCCAGAAACTCCAAAGTTAGGAAAGTTTAATAGATTTAGATTTAGTAGATAATTTTTTTAAAGGTAAAAGTTTCTCTATTTATCCCTACCAGCTTCTTCACTTACCTTCACATGCTTTTGCTCCAGTTGTGCTGAGCTTTTTTCTGTTTTTCCCAGGCACTGCTTTGTCTCGGGTCATTGTACTTGCCTTTCTCTTTGCCTAGTGAGTGTTTTCAGGGAAATTCAGCATTTCACATGGCTGCATCTTCTCAGCAATCATCACCTTCTTGCCCAGCTCTTTCCTGACCACCAAAACTTATGACGGTCCCACTCCTATCACACGTTCCTCCTGTCACCCTGTTTATGTACTTTCCTCGGGGGGGGGTGATTTCTCACTTTCTGTTTCTCTCTCTCTCTCCGGCAAGCACACGTACCTATACCAAAAACCTCTTATAAACAAACAAAAAAAAAGCTTTTTCTGTTTTGTGAGTCTGTGACAAGAGTGGCCGCCCTAGTCTTTGCTCTCAGTGACCCCTAGATTCCTTGTCTAACTCTTTGGCCACTGTGAGGCAGCAAATATCACCTCCACTTCCCCTAAGCCAATAATGCTCTCAATTGTTCACTTACTGCCCAGCATAGACTGACCTCTATCTAAGGTTCTTTTTTCTAATTCCAGAGAGGGATCTGACTGAGGGAGCCTGGTTGGCTCAGATGTCATCTCCATAGCCCAGTTAGCAGACCATGGTTAGGGGATAGATTCCAAGGAGGAGGTGAGTCAGAAGGCATTTGCCTTAGACACCTTCAGGTGTTGTTCTTGATGATACACTGTCAGTTGTGGGACTTCTTTATTCTTGTGTGCCTTTATGATTTCATTTTTTCTAATTCCAGAACCAAGACCATTTTAGTACAAGAGAGAAGTTTAGAGCAGTGCTTCTCAACAGTGTTGTGTTCTCTAGGGGACATTTGGCAACATCTGCAGTTATTCTATTTATTTATTTAGAGAAATTTTTGCTATGGGGGTGTATAGTCACCAGAGAGATGGAAAAAGACAGAAAGCCAGAAATCACCCCTCCCAGAGGGGATGACTATGCTGTAATTCCTTCTCCGTTCTCCTTTTGGGATCTTGGGCATACACGCACTTGTGCCCAGTGTGTTTTTTAAGTCACTTGGTCTAGGACTCAAACCACGGTAGACTACGTGTGAGTCCAGCAACATAACTATTACGCCACCTGCAGTCACTTGGTTTTCAACACCTGGAGTGGTAGGAATGGGTTGGTAGAGTCTAAATATGCTGCTGAGCATCCTACTATGTATTAGACAGCCCCTCAACAAAGAATTATCCATCCCCAAATGCCAAGAGTGCCAAGGTTGAGAAACAATAGTTTAGGCAATTCCCTACTTGAAGATAAATACCATAGATCATTTACTTTGGGGGGGGGTTTAAATCTAGTATGATTCCAGAAACTCCAAAGTTAGGAAAGTTTAATAGATTTAGATTTAGTAGATAATTTTTTTAAAGGTAAAAGTTTCTCTATTTATCCCTACCAGCTTCTTCACTTACCTTCACATGCTTTTGCTCCAGTTGTGCTGAGCTTTTTTCTGTTTTTCCCAGGCACTGCTTTGTCTCGGGTCATTGTACTTGCCTTTCTCTTTGCCTAGTGAGTGTTTTCAGGGAAATTCAGCATTTCACATGGCTGCATCTTCTCAGCAATCATCACCTTCTTGCCCAGCTCTTTCCTGACCACCAAAACTTATGACGGTCCCACTCCTATCACACGTTCCTCCTGTCACCCTGTTTATGTACTTTCCTCAAAAGCAAAGAATGTCGGAACCAGCAGTTAGTGTAATGGCTATGTCGCTGGATTACCACGTAGTCGACCGCGGTTCGCGTCCCGGACCCAGTGACTTAAAACTCACGCCAGGCGCGTGTGCATGCGTGCCCAAGATCCCGAGAGGAGAATGGAGGAGAATGGAGGAGAAATCACCCTATCGCTTTCTGTCTTTATGTCTCTCTCTGTCTGTCTGGCGAGCGCACGCGCCCTATAGCAAAAACCTCTCCAAAAAAAAAAAAGAAAGAAAAACAAAGAATGTCAGTCATGCTAAGGTTGAGATACCCTGTTTCAGAGGGTACAGAGCACACTAAATCAACTAGCATTAGAGACTCCCTGAGGAAACTTTTTCTTTATTTATTTTCCTTCTTCCCCCTGATTATTTTTCAGAGAAAGTCTGGGATTGGTGTTGTATTAATTTCTCTCCCACCTTCCCACTGTTACTAATTTTTTCTTTCCTTTTTTTTTTTAAGAGAGATTTTTGCGATAGGATGCATGCACTCACTGGAAACAAACAGAAAGTAAGAGAACCCCTCTCAAAGGGGATGACCATGCCACATTTCTTTCTCCTCCATTCTCCTTTTCGTATTTTAGTCATGCACACACATGTGCTCAGTGAGTTTCAAACCATCGGATCCAGGACTTGAACCATGGTCAACCATGTGGGAGTTCAACACCTTAACCACTCTGCCACCTACTGGCCCCTATTTTTCCTTTCCCTTTTTTTTTTAACTATATGTCACACGACCTCCCCCTCAAGAGATTTTTGCTATAGGGGCATGTGCATTTGCCAGAAAGACAGAAAACAAGAAGCCCCACCCCCCCCCATGGACCATGACCACATTGCAATCCCTTCTCCTCTTGTGGTTTTGGTCAGGCACAAACACATCCCTGCATAAGTTTTAAGCCACCAGGTCCAGGACTCGAACCATGGTCGACCACATGGGAGACCAGCAACATAACCATTTTGCCATCTGCTGGTCCCTAGTATTTCCTTCTCAAGAGAGGGAGCAATCTTTTATTTTTTTTCTTTTTTTTTGGAGAGGCTTTGTGCTATAGGGCGCGTGCACTCGCCAGACAGAGAGAGAGAGACAGACAGAAAGCGAGAAATCACCCCCCTGGGGGGATGGTCATGCCGCAATCCCTTCTCCATTCTCCTCTCGGGATCTTGGGCACACACGCACACGTGCCCAGCGTGAGTTTAAGCCACTGGGTCC